CTACTGAGGTTAACAATACAATACCGACTGACTGGAGTGCACGGTACGTGCAATTCTTCAAGCGTCGGACATAAGCTGTCCAATAAATTGCGCTATCTATTGCTCACGCTAGAAGGGGACGAATTAATTTGCCCAACGCTGCTCACATTGGCGACATAGAACATCATTATTCTGGGTTTTCATATTTGGCGCTTTTGTTTCGAACTCATGATGTTGTTATTGCGAGGAGCAATGTTGGAAAACAGTACTCGAGCAGTGGTAGGGAGTCGGAGGCCGCCTGGACTCCGTAATTTCCGCTAGACAGGTGTGTCATACATAAGCTGTTGTTGTGACAGCGGTAAGTCACGATTTATATCAAAGTTCTGATGATTACTGATAAAGGTAACTTGACAAAGCAATTCCAGGTTGTTTTTATTTCATGCTCCAATTGCATGTGATATAAATCTGAGCTCTTCAAGTGCGGTGACATTTGACACCATTTTCAATGCTAAGAGAGCCTACCTTTCAAGGAGTCGTGATTTTGCAAAGGCAATTTGCTGGCAGAAATACTCTGAAACATTTTTTCACAGTAAATGGTATGGAGATTCAGCATAATATGGCATCAATGAGCAGTGGATGGATGTTTTGCTGACTGAGTTGCTGTTAGCAAGAGAAGAATATGTGTAGTGTGTCAAAGCAACTTGAAGCCTCTTTACACCAATGTCAGGAGAGTTCTGACTTTTGAAGAAGAAGCCCCCTCGGCAAATGTCAGGATAGTCAGTTGATGTACTAACCTAACTGAGCTAATAGAATGGAGAGAAAAATCAGTGCAGGTTTGGGTTTGAGTGCCCAGGCTAGTGTAAGTTGGTATGTAAGGTAAAGTATTGACAAGCCTTGGATTTAATAAAAATCATCCCTATGTGAGCCCACTCATTCACATCCTTATCACCCTAATCTTTCTGTTTTCAGCCATTTAGATTCACTGTGGTTTCATGCAAATGGTTTCTGTCTCTTATAGAAATAATTTTCATTAATCCTTCATTTATCCAATAGAGGAGACTAGAAGCCTTCTGATGGGGTTCTGTGCTCTTGGGGAAAGGAAGGCAGGAGCAAGTGACCAGTTGCTCTGAGCTGCACTAAATTTCTGTCAAAGTGCTGGGATTGCCTTGTTCAAAGGGATTGCCTTTGCTGACCTTTCACTGGCATTTGTGTGAAAAGCACCAAATGCTGATAGATTACTGATAGATCACATAAACAACAAGTACATGTTCCATGGCTGAGCTCTTTTTCTCTCTGCAGCACACAGGTGCCATGGCAAGGCCAGTGGGTCACCTTGCAGGCGGCCAGATGACACCAGCACGCCGGAGCTGACTGACTCGCCCAGGCGGGGTGAGTAGGACCGGACTCTGCATGAGGAGGGAGGGGGGGGGGGGGGAAGGGTGCAGGCCAGAGTTTGTGCCAACTCCTTCCAAGGACAAGGGAGCTGTCTGTACGCTTGGCTGGGCTCACTATGCCTTTGTGGGGGCAGGTCTGGCAATGCAATGACCATATATAAGACACTTTATTAAGGTTACATAACCTAAAGAAGGGGTCGTGTCACTCAAAAGCATGGGCACTTGTGCCTATCCATGCCACTTCGCCAACCCTCGCCATGTTACGTTCAAAGTCCCATTTTCGAACCGAGGCCTGACCGGCAGACGGCGGCGGTACACCGCTTCCTGGCCTCTTTCAGCCCGGGGTGGGGTGAGGGGGGGGGGGGATGGGTAGGGTGCGAGCGCAGCTGTGCGCACGTGGTTGTTAGTGTTCATAGCTGGGACCCGGCGACCCTGTGAGATCATGGGCAGCAGGTGGTGGGGGCCAGCAGATTAATGTACAATGGTACACACAGTGCGGTAGTTAACGCGTCTGCGTTAAAGGGAATAATTCACAGTTGAAGATATTAAAGCAAGCATCAGGCATTACGAACTAAGCTCACTTATAACTATCGGTATACTTTTAGGTGGAAAAGACTGCTGGGGATAACGCAGTATCTCTGTGGAGCAAATAAGTTCCTCAATACGTTTGTTTTGTTGTTTTGTTTTGTTGTTTTGATTACGTCATCGTAACTTGCACAACATTGATTGAGAGCCAATTGACGGCCGTTATGTCCGTAAATCGTGCTTACGTGCTCAGATCTGAACAACTCCACAATTTTTCGTTGGCCTTAATCGCCGCAAAGGTAATGGAATGACAGGGTTTTACTAACGTTATCATGGCGTCATGGGGGCCTGGTTGACCCTTGAAATAGTCTCCCCGAAATAGTCTGCACATCTTCACGGGCGTTTAGCCCAGAAACTAGGGCGGTTTAGGCCTTTAGAAGGGCAGGGCCGTGAGCTACACCGAATGATCCTCAAAAGGGCTATTTCAGTTCAAAATCCCATACAAATGTGGAACACTCTCTGTTAAGGGAATGGTCCACATTTGAAGATAATGAAACAGGCATGATATCTGATGAAATATACTCACTTATGACTTTTGGTATGCTTTAAGTGAAAGGCTGCTCTAGAGAACACATCGTTTCTATTAAGTAAATATTCTTCCTAATGTGCCATTATTTGATTGCATCATAGAACATTTTTATGGAGCTAAGGTACTGCAAAACTACCTATGCAAAGTTGCAACTTACTTGTAGTACTTCATATTCGTCGAGAGATGGCGAAACGGGCTGAAAGTGTTTACTGAGGCAAATATTGTTATGTACTTGTATTTTGGCCCTTCCGCGTGGTGTTATTGCATATTTATTGGTGAGCATTAAATGTTTCTTTGCATTCACATTCCCGGTTATTGCTTTATTGGCAAATTATTTCACAAGTCTTTTTTCGTAATAATCACCAATCATGTCCAACTTCTTATATCACGCGGCAGAAAGCGTCATTCGTGATTTCAAATTGCATAGCCTGCTCAATATTGCTTGAGTCCCAATTGACCTTCCCTCTATTCGGAATCGTGCTCACGGATGTCAGATTTCGGCGGCTCGACAATAATCTCCTTTTTGCCTTGAACGCCGCCTGACCTGTGGGGTGGCAGGATTTTAACGACCTAGCTATGGTGCCATGCGTGCCTGAATGGCCTTGAAATGGCCTGCACTAAATGGTGTGCACATCTTCGTGGGCGTATAGCCCAGGAGATAGAGGGATTTAGGTCTTAAGAAGGGCAGCGCTGTGAACTGCGCCGAATGATCTTCAAAGTGGCTATTTCATCTCATTCCCCTCCCTCCCCCCCCCCCCCCCATAGAAATGTGGGGCTCTCCCTTCCACCATCGCGCGCCTGGGAAACCAGAGATGCGGGGTTTTGTTCCCCACAGCGCCCGTCCTTCCTGCCAGGATGAGAGCCAGGTGACACTCTAAAGCTTCAGCAGCTGAGTATATCGTGAAGCCACAGTGACGGCGACGAAAATAAACTGATACAAATGCTAACTTTTGAATTATGAATTATGAAATGATCTTAATAAGTGGTGGTCACGGCCAAACTTACCATGCATTCCAAACCGTGGGATGAGAACGGCTTCAGTTGTTTTGGACGTTATGGTCCGCAATTCGGCGCTTGTATCATTCCTCGTCAGCCTGTCCTTTCCTGTGCTGTGCTGTGCTGTGCTATGCTGTTCTGTGTTGTCCTGTGTGGTCCTGTGTTGTCCTGTGCTGTCCTGTCCTGTCCCACCCTGTCCCGTTCTGTCATGTCTGTGCTGTGCTGTGCTGTGCTGTGCTGTGCTGTGCTGTGCTGTGCTGTGCTGTGCTGTGCTGTGCTGTGCTGGGCTGGGCTGGCTGTGCTGTGCTGTGCTGTGCTGTCCTGTCCTGTCCTGTCCTATTGCCGCCCGAAACGTAAGGAGACTGCTCTACGTTTGTATGGGGCTTTGGACCGAGAAAGACATTTTCAGGATTGTCCTCTGCAGTTTATAGTTATATGACCTCTATATGGCCCCTTGTTTCTGAGCTAGACGCGCGCCAACTTGTGCGGACTGTTTCGCGCCGCCTGATATGAAGCTTCCCAAAGATATATGACGTCATAGAAACATCATAATTATCTCCCACGCAATGCCCATATTGTGCTCAAAGTCTAAAATAATACGGCCATTGGAGTTTTCGTATCTTGAGTGCGTCCGCGTAAATCGTGACATCAGCAGACCACAGTTGGTCAATAGCCAGTTCAAGCCGCTGACAGCAAGCCTTAAGCACGAAGCGCATTTTGTGATGCATATCGCAGGAATTTGATCAGCTGTTCCAATTATGACGGGCATTGAGCCTGAGAACCGCCGCTGCCCTCCTCGTTCTTCTGTCTGTGTGTGCGTTGGGTACGGGGGTATCACGTCACCCGCCTTCTGCAGGTCTGTGACGCTCGGTGACGTATCTAATGGCGACTCGTTTGTAGGGTTTTTCGACCAATCGATACGATCATTATGGTTGGTGGCGTCACAGCTGATGCCGGCCAACCGTATGGCCACGCCTCGGTATATGCCGGGATCTCGGCATCGGACACTTGGGGCCGAGGCTTCTTGGGGAATCTCTTCGAGAGCATTGGGAGGCACGGCCGGATGAATGAGCTTTGTTGTCCATCGCGTCGGGAAGCCGGTCGCGTCTTGCGTTGTACGGACGGAGGCAAATCTCTAGTACGTGGTCGCTGCGGGTCATATTTTTGGGGAGTCCTGGCAATGCGGGTGATACTCAATCTCGAACCAAGCAGACACGTAGTGGCTTGCATCAATTCCACGTTCGCCCAGTCCGCCTTTCAGTGGCATCCGCATTTTGTTCCGCTGCGTCCAGCTGCTCACGAGATTTGGCTCTGTAAGTCCGGCGCTTAGTCGGGGCTTACTCGGGAGTCATCGATCTCGCCGTGCTCGCTGAGTCTGTCGAGGAGATGCGTCAAGAAGCCCCGGTCAGGACCGTTCGATGGTGAGATCGGGAACAAACCGAGGTATGGCCACACCATTCGACCGACAACAGCTGTGATGCCACCAACCACAACGACCGTATCGCCTGCTCGACAGACTTTATAAGCGAGTCGCCATCGGCTTCGTCCCCGGGCGTCACAAAGCTGGAGACTGCGGGTCACATGGTGCCCCCGTACTCAGTGTTTACACAGGCAGAAGAATGAGGGGAGGGGGGGGGGAGGGGCAGACTGACATAGAGGCAGCATCTGTGGTGAAGGGATGGGACACACGTCATGAGTACATGCGCGTGAGACTGCGACGTCCAGCAAAGGTTGCGCATGTTTGAATCAGAGCGGGAGTTCGTTTCCGATTGGCATGTCGCCGTTTGGAAGGGTACTATGATCTTTCGTTATTAATTACGCATTACCAACGATGCGTTGCGTGAATCGCATTGTCATAGGTGTCACTTCCTTAAAGCGGGTTGGGGAGGGGTGGGGGGGGGGGGGGGGGGGGCTGAGCCAATAAAGCTTACCTAAGCCATCCTCAAATCCTAATTTCTCCCCTGACGCTTGCCACTTTTATTTGCGCCCCTTATGTGAAAAAAGAATTAAAAGTACATTTAGTCGGCTCCAAAATTGTTCTGTCAATGATTATGATGATGATATTGATAGCGGTGCGTTTATGTACCTTGTGTACCAGCAGTCCGGACACTTGCTGTGTTTCACTGGCCCGGTATTTCCTCTTTGCTCATATGCATTGGGTGTGGGGGGGGGGGACTCAGAAAGAGCATTGAGGGGCTCAAGTCAGTTCTGGATGTGGGGGGGGGGGCGTACCCGGAAAGGGTACAAGTTGACACCACTACGCGTAGTTGTCACCTTTAACCACGGGTGTCGATTTCTCAAAATGTTTCGGGAGGCCGATCTTGGAAGTCGCCATAAGAGGATAGTTATGAGAAACTTCTCGGGTAAAGTCCACTTCTGTTCTGTTTTCTGACTTTCCCTTACAGGGATATATATATATATATATATATATATATATATATATATATATATATATGGGGTGGGGGGGGTGGGGGTGTGCGTGTGGGTGTATGCGCATGCATGCGTGCGTGCGTGCGTGCGTGCGTGCGTGCGTGCGTGCGTGCGGGCGTGCGGGCGGGGGCGTGCGGGCGTGCGTACATGCGTACGTGCGTGCGTGCGAACAACACTTACCACATATTTTTGTAAGCTCATGTGCGTAGCAACAGCAGTAACACGTGAAAGGCTGGCAGTTTGCATCAGCTTCGTATAAACGTACTTATTTGGTGAATCTGAAGGGGTGCACTTGTACTTCTCTGTTGCAAACCGGAAAGTGAAATATGTTTACAATTTACGATTATGTGGTTCTGTAGTGTTTTGTTGTATATCTTTATGTATCGACAGGAAGTGTCCACAATATATCTGGCATTGCATTCCGTGTATATGACGCTTCTCGACGATCCAAAAAT